CTTAGAGTGGTAGAGATGAACTGTGTGCTCCCAACCAGCTCTGCTCAGCCCTTGGGCACCAGGGGGGTTTCAGGAGGTGTTCCCAACCAGCTCCACTCAGCCTTCAGCCACTGTGCTGGGGTAGCTGCAGTTTTCAACCCCTGCTGCTCCCATGGGCCAGGCCCTGCAGGTCCTGCTGCCGCTGCCTTGGGCCCAGGAGCCCAGAAACCCCAGAAAATCGATCCCAGGCACTAAAAAGCCTTCTTGTGCTCAGCAAGGGCTGCAGGGCGGCAGTTCTTTATGAACTCCCCTCCCCTCAGTGCCTCCTGAGCACGGCTGGGCATTAGTGCAGCTCCCAGGGCTGTCTCGGTTTCCACTGCTGCCACAGGGCATAGACTCGCTGCATTTGGGTATTAAACACAACAAATTTAGGGAGGGGGACAGCCCTAGAAACCAGGATTTTGCCCTCAAGAGCTTGGAGCTGTATGAGGCGCATAAAGGATCCCCAGAATACACCGATGCTCCCAGCAGTGGCTCTGCTCCCCCAAGAATGGGACTGTGTTTGGGAGAGAGAGGATGGCCAAGATGTGGTCTGGAATGAAACAGCTGCACGTTGAGATGAAGCGCTTGGGGCAGTACGGTTACTGAGATTTTGGGGCACCTTTCTGAGGGATGAGTAACTGGAAAGTAGGAGAGACCTGGCTCTGATGTTAGAATGGGGAAGGAAGCACGTCAGGAGCCTGTATTAGGGAAGATCCTGCTGCTTTCCACCAGTTTTGGTAGGTTATAAATGGCTTTGGGGGATTTCTCCCTCAGTTTATGGGCAGAAATTACCCCTTTATTTGGGAGAATCCTGATGCTTTCTGCCAGTTTTGGAGGTTCTAAATGGCTTGTGGTAGACCCACTTTCGTCTCCAAAATCTTGATCTTTGCCCCAGTTCATCACCATTTGGCTGCGAAAGACACTCTTGGGCATTAGGAAATCAAAATTGTGGAATCACTGAGGTTGGAAAAGACATCCTGTTACAGTGATTGACAGGGGCCTTGCCCAATCACATATCTTCCAAGGCTGCAGGCATCTCACTGGCCAGGACCCGAAGGGGCGTGGAGTTCAAATGAATGAGCGCATCCAGACAGGGTCTTTCAAATGCTCTTTATAAGGGAGGGCTTGGGAATAAACAAGCTCTGTTGCCGCATGAACCTGGGGGTGAGTGGTCTCTGTCTCCTGCACTGCTCCTCCCTGCAATGTGACCTAACATGTGGTGACCCCGACATGATGACCACTCGGCAGCCATAGCCTGGCACAGAGCAAAGGCTTAAAAGCTGGTACAGTGTTTAGAACCAGCATTATTACAGGCATCAGAGCTGGACATTGGTGCTGGAATTGGAATACAATTGGGCGTAGAGCTGGAATCAGTCTAGAACCAGAATAATTGACAGAGAGCTGCATCAGTGTACAACCAACCGGAACAAACAGCTTAGAGCTGGATCAGTGTGGAACTGGAAAAAACAGCATAGAGCTGGATCACTGTGGAACCAGAATAAATACAGCATGAAAGCAGGGACGTCAGCAAGAGAGCTGTCACAGTAACTGGGACTTCGCTGGGCAGACAGCAAAAAGTGCTATGTGGCTGCAAACTCTGTTTTTGTGGACTAGAATCATTACTGAGACCATGGGAGCCTGGACTTCAACACCAGAATATCCCATCCTGAAGGCATGGATGTTCTTTTTGTTAAAAAGAGGGATTTATTACCATGAACGGGCTCTGAAAGCCCTTTTCACGTGGTGTGAGAGCCATGAACTAAATGTGTCCAAAGAGACCACTTTAAACTTACCCTGTTGGGAGGGGGTTGGACAATATATATTTGTGGCGGCCTCTAATGGTGAGAACACAGCCATCAGTGCTATAAAGACTTGGACAATTGTTACGGACTAGATAAAACAGTTGGAATATGACAGGCAAAGGGGGAAGGGCAGCAGCGCAGCTGTTTCTTTGTGCAACCCTGCACAGGAGCTGGCACTGCCTAGGGAGCTGGCGGGCCCTGGCCGCTGCAAGAACTGCTGCAGAGTGACCGTGGGGAGTGGCACAGCCCCAAGGAGTGGGGGAAGCCCAGCAAAGGGAGACAATCCGAGGGCTGCCCGTGCCGTGAATGCCGGTACTGCCCAGGGAGTTGGCAGGACAGATAGCGCAATTCAGCCGTGTGGAGAGATGGCGGCCTGGCCCTGGCAGCTCTGAAATGCCCCATGTCCACTCTGGACTGCTGTAGTCACTATGCAGCCACCTTGGGCCACTATATGGCTGACCCAGGCAGATGCGCCATGCCGCCCTGTTCTGGGGGACCAGACCACGTGGTGGCTGCTGAGACCCCTCTTGGGATAAAGGCAAATTCCACAGCCATTACTCTGTGCCATGCGGCTGCTGAGACTGCCACCCCACCATTTGCAATGGGACCACCAGCACCTCCCATCACCATGGAAATGCCAAGACTGTCCCGTCCGGAGACTGAGTGGGCTGGCTCGAAAGCCACGCCTCCGTGGAGCCTGGCCGCACCTGCATCGCAGGACGTGCCTGCCCCGCCCCAATCCCAGGGTCCTGCACCCAAGGCAGCCTCCGTGGAACGCAGCCATGCCTCCAGTGGGAACGGCCCTGCCTGCGACCCTTTCCCCAGAGTGGAGCTGGGAATGACACCACCAGGAGCTCCTGCAAACCTCACACCCAGAAGGAGAGCGTGGGAAAAGCCCCCGAGAGGATCCAGCCCGGCTAAAAGCAGTGGAAATAAGCATGCAAAGGTTTGGTGCCATGATGCAGAAACATTGGAGTCTGCCCCAAGAGATGGGGCCAGATACATGAGATAACTGTTTCACAGCAGCTGAAATCAACACACCCTCTCACCCAGTCCAGCGAGAAGCCAGCTTTTCCCTACAAATGGATGATGAGAAGGCAAACAAACAAACACCAAGTTTCCACCTCTCAAGGGCTTGACAACCACCTTACCTCCTGATATATCAAGTTGTTCATATTCTGAAGCCTCTAATAAACTAATAACATATTCCAAGAGTAAAAATATTGAAGGGTTATCCCACAAGAGTTACAAAAATGTACAACTGTTTGTGAAATCTGCTTTAGAGTTGATAGTACAATACTTATTATTATTGTTTGCATTTGCTAAAACCAAAATTGATAAGCCTGTGATCACTAGTTCTGCTAAAGTTATTTAGAAAACGTTTACAGTTCTGTCTCAGGCAGGTACTACTGTGTCTTAAGGAAACTTGAGTATGTGCATTAACATGTCTTTTCTTACTCCTAGTGACTATTTTCTGTACTCCTAGTAACTATTCTTGCATTGCTTCAAGATAAATGAGTAAGATTCAAAGAATATCCCCTGAGGTACACAAAGAACATCCATTTCTCATAAGCAAATTTCAGTTGCAAAGTTTTTTAACTGAAATTCTGCCACTTGTGATCATTTTAAAAGTTAAAAGTAATCTATTAAAGTCAATAACAAAAATTCTAACTTCTAACAAAGGGGGAAAAGTATATTGCTCGCACTGTTATTCATGCTAAAAATTCTTCTTGCACTAGATATTAATAAAAGCTTGTTTTTAAAATATATACACAGAAAACATCTCCCAGCCAAGGTTATTGCCCTGATCAAGCCATGAACCTGGCTGGTAAAGAAAAATATATTAGTAAACCTAGATGAGACTTTGCATAAGGTAAACCATACTTACATTGAGATAAATGAGAAAGTCTCATCTGGAAGAGGTTTCTTCAAGTCCTGATAGAAAAAGAGACCCCCTCAGTAACCCCCTAAGTAATAGTATTCAAATTCCATGTTGTGTTCCTATTTTTATTTATTATACAAAGAAAAAAGGGGAAAAAAGGTTGGGGTGAAAGTACACCCCCACATTGAATTTTAAGTAGTATCATGTGCTCATGTTTTACAATAAATAATACAATAGTACAATAACCCTATGATATTCAGCTGCCGAAAATACATTTCAATGGACCCTGAAAATCACAGGGCATCCTGATGTCACCTCAACAGTAGACCACAAATGATCACCTACCTCATGCACAGTTCATATAAGGACTTGATTTGCTTACAAATTTTTTCTCATGCTTATAAACTGTTTTTCTGTTTAGAGATTATTTTCTGGGAGTTGGGTTTTTCTCCAAGGGTTAACTGGGTTACAGCTTGTTTTTTAATAGTTGGGTTTTTCTCTAAGGGTTAAATGGGTTAAGGGTTAAATAGCTTTCTGCTTGCAGAGATAAGTTGTAATTTGTATAAGCATTATGCCTGTGGCCTGAGCTCCTCCCTAACAGGTCCTGGAAGTGAATGCTGCAGCTCCAGTGTAAATTAGATCCATGCTGCTTTCTGTTGCCCTGTTTGCTAAGGGCCCTTGCAGATGGATGACAGAGAGCACTTCACAAAACTTTATAAAGACAAGAAGGGTGAGATATTACCATGATTGACAAGGGCCTCCCCCAGTCACATATCTCCCAAGGCTGCAGGCATCTCACTGGCCAGGACCCAAAGGGGTGTGGAGTTCAAACCAATGAGGGCATCCAGATGGGATCTTTCAATGCCCTTCATAAGAGACGGCTTGGGAAAAAATAAGCCCTGTTGCAACATGAACATCGGGGTGAGGGGTTTTTGTCTCCAGTGCCGCTCCCCCTCCTTATTACTTAACAACCTCCCAGACCATTCAGTATTCCTTGATGCCACCAGAAAATATGACTGAACGCAAAAGATTTTCTGGGATTGAAAGTCAACAAATCCACTGTCTCCAAGGAATTCCCATTGTTGGTCTGTGTCCCAATGGATGTTCCTGCCCCTGTGTTCATCCAGGTGCCCATGGAGCCAGGAAGATGTGCAGCCTCCCAGCCAGGTGTCTCCAAACATGGATCACCAGGACCATGGATCACCAGGGCTCTGCCCAATGAGGGTCACTGGGGATCGTCCGACGTGGATCCTCTCATGGGGGATGGAGCTGGAGCAGCACATGAAGCTCTTCCCACACTCAGGACACTCGTAGGGCCTCACCCCGGTGTGGATGCGCTGGTGGATGGTGAGTTTGCAGTTTTGTTTGAAGCCCTTCCCACAGTTGGGACAGCGGAAGGGCCTCTCCTCCGTGTGAATCCGCTCATGTTTGAGGAGATCGGAGCTGCTTTGAAACCTCTTCCCATACTCAGGACACTCGTAGGGCCTCTCCCCAGTGTGGATGCGCCAGTGCAGGATGAGGTACAAGTTGCACTTGAAGCCCTTCCTGCAGCGGAAGGGCCTCTCCTCTGTGTGAATCTGCTGATGTACTAAGAGATTGGAGCTGGACTGAAACCTCTTCCCACACTCAGAACACTTGTAGGGCCTCTCCCCAGTGTGGAGGCACCAGTGGTGGCTTCTCAGGGCATAGCTCCACCCGAAACTCTTCCCACACTCCAAGCACTCATAAGGCCCTTCGCCAGGGTGGATCACCTGGTGCTGGATTAGACCAGAGACCGTCCTGAAGGCGTGCCCACATTCCCCACACTCAAAGGGGTTTTCCCCACTGTGGATCGTCTGGTGTTTCCTCAGGTTGGAGCTGCGGCTGAAGCATTTCCCACATTCCCTACACTCATAGGGCTTTCCCGCAGTGTGGATCCTATGGTGTTTACTCAGGTCGGAGCTGTGGCTGAAGCCCGTCCCACATTCCAAGAACTTGTGGGGCTTCTCCCTGCCGTGAGGCTCCTCCACCAGCTCTGAGACCTGGCTGGATCTGCGGCCGCCTTCCTGGGACGGGGGGGGGGGGTCTTTCCTCCTTGCAGCCCCTTCTTGTCTGGCATCTCCAGGAATTTTCCTCCTCCTCCATCTGGCCACAGCTTGGGAATGAAAAATCCTGGTTTGGGAGAAAAACAAAATGAGAGCGCCTTGGGCTGGGGGCTCCTCCTTGCCGGCGTTCATCTCAGGAAGTCATTGGGAATCTTGTGTCTGTAAGAACTGCTAAAACACCAAGATTCAGCACAAAAATCCTACAAGCATCAAGACACAGATCAATAGCTGCCAAACATGAAGATTCAGCCAGAACCCCCTCCAAAACGTAAAGATTCAGCCTCCGCAAAACACCAAAGTACCAATATTTACCCCAATAAATCTCAGAAACACCGAGATTCACCCCCATGAAAATCGTGGATCCCCCTTCCCCGGAGGACTGCACGTTGGGGGAGGGGGGTTGGGGGGAGGGGCAACGCTCCTGGGGCTGGAGAGGAGGCTGCAGACACGGGGAGAGGTGGAATCTTGTGGTGCCTCCTATTTCTGCTCCTCCTCTTCCTCCTGTGTCCCTACTCTTCCTCACACTCCTCTTCCTCCTGCTATTCCTCCTTCTCCTGCACAATCCCACCTTCTCCTCCCACGTGCATCGTTTGACCTTTTTGTTCCTCAACCCTGCTTCTCCTTCCCTTCTCCTCCTGCCCCAGGCACAGCACCCACTGCCGGCTCCCTCTTGCCCCCAAACCCACAGCATCCCACGGCAGGGGCAGGGATGGAGCTGGGGCAGGTCGGGCTGGGGCAGCGCTGGGCTCTCGGCCGCTCCCGCCCGCACTCGGTCCCCACTGCAGCCGCTCCCGCCAGGACAGCGCGGGGGGGCCCGGCCTTGGCGCTGCCCCACTCCCACCTCCCCAAATTCTCCTCAAGGGGGGCGCTGGGGCCGAAGGGGGGGCGCAGGTGGGGAACGCTGGGAGCTGTGGGTCTGCCTGGCAACTGCTGAGTCATAAGCGCCGTGTGCTCTGATTGGCTGAGCACTGCCTGAGGGTGGAGCTGCAGCAAGGCGGGACACCCTGCTCCGGGGGGGATGTCGCACAAACGGGGGACTCCCATGAAAGGAAGAGGAAAGTGCCTTTACAAACAGATGCTGTGAATCTGCTCAGAGATAGGGCCAGGGACTTGTACATAAAGAAGCGACAGGAGAAGCCATAAGTTTCATAAAATGTTATTAATTGATGACACAGACTGCTGCTCAGCCAAGGTCCTGCTAAATTCATGAACTTCGAGAAGAATAACAAAGTCTTCTGTGAGAATCTGTCCGAAATATCCTTCATCTGCCTCACGACTGTCATGGAGAGCGACCAGGGAAAAATTAAAACCCCTGTTTGCAGAACCAGTGGGGGGGAATGTCATGTGCCTGAGGCCTGAAAGTACTGCTAGCTTACTCTTTTTCCACAGGTGTTGTTTGCTATATGCTACACTGAGCTCGCAGGGCACCCTGCCCTTTTTGCACAATAGCTCTGGAGTCGTCCCCACCTCTCGGCCTGGCTGCTTTGAGCTTCGGGGTGGTCCCTCCTCCAAGAGAAGACCCCTCTCGCCCGTCCTTAACAGCTGTGACAGACAAGTAGAGATGTAAGAGGCCTCTTCATCAACGGACTGACACGAGGCAGGTCGGACTCGGCAGCGCTGGGCTCTGGGCCCGGCCCGGGCGCCCCTCACGCGCCCCCTCCCCAAACAGCCCCGCCGGGGGACGCGGCAGGGGTCCGGGAGGGGAGGGCTGGGCTCCTCTTTTGGGGTCCCACCCGCCCCTTTTCACGACTTTCCCACCCTCTCCCACCCCTTTCTCACCTCCCCCCCCCCGTCAGCCCATCCCGCTCTCCCAATGGGGGGTCCCCTCCTCCTCTCGCTCCATTCTGGGCTCCCCCTTTCGCCCCCTTTTCCCGCTTCTCCCTCCCGTCCCAGCGCCTCCCGCACCCCGCTCACCCGAGAGCTCCGCGCCCGCAGCCGGGGGGGCTCCCAGCACCACCAGTGCCACCAGCAGGGCCCCAGCTGCCGCCCCTCGCCCCATGGCCGGGGCCGGGCAGGGAGCAGCAGCCCCAAAGCAGCCGCGCAGCGCTGGGAGCGCCAGTCCGGAGCAGGGCGGGCTCGGCAGCGCCGCGCGCTCTCATTGGCTGTCGCCACTTTTGGGGACCCGATCTCAGAGACTCCGCCACACAACTGATGATTGAACAACGCGCTCTCATTGGCTGCGGCGCGTTTTGGCTGTGTTTTCATTTGCTGAGGGGTTCCCGGGACGCTGCAGCCCCGGACTGGGGAGGGGGAACCTTGGGGCGCTGGGCAGGTGGGAGCTCAGGTGAGCCCAGCAATGCGTGCCCAGGTGCGCGGCATCTCAGGGCTGCCGGTGGCGAGCGGTGACGCTGGCCCGATGCCAGGCACCCCCAGAGCCGCTCTGTCCCTGCCCCCCGCAGCCGCACAGGGACAGAAAAAGGAACCGAGGGTTCCTGCGTGGGGACAAGGACCGAGAGAGATCACGCAGCAAATCCGGCACGGGCACAACAGACCCGGCCTGGGCACACGGAGGGAATTTATTACCAAATTACAGCAGCACAAGGAGAAGGGAAAGAAATCTCTCCAACACCTTCCCCCTGCCCAACACAGATCAGCCAGAACAGGGGTCACCAGGGCCCTGCCCAATGGGGGTCACTGGGGACCATCCAGCGTGGATGCTCCCATGAGGGATGGAGCTGGAGCAGCGCACGAAGCTCTTCCCACACTCGGGACACTCGCAGGGCCTCTCCCTGGTGTGGAAGTGCTGGTGAGGGATGATCTCTGAATCCCACCTGAAGCTCTTCTGACATTCCAAGCACTCCTAGGGCCGTTCCCCAGTGTGGATCTTGTGGTGCTTGCTAAAGCTCAGTCAGAGGTCCCACTGAAGCTCTTCTCACATTCCCCACACTCCCAGGGCCTCTCCCCAGTGTGGATGCTCTGGTGTTCCATCAGGGTGGAGCTGTAGCTGAAACCCTTCCCACATTCCAAGCACTTGTGGGGCTTCTCCCTTCCACGAGCCTTCTCCACCAGCTCTGAGCTCTGGCTGGATCTCTGGCCAGCTTCCTGACTCAGGGGGGCTCTTTCCTCCTCACACCTCCCTAGGCTGGGTTTGCAGCCCCTCCACGTGTGGGATCTCTTGGGCTTTTCCTCCTCCTCCATCTGGCCACAGCTTGGGAATGACAAACCCTGATTTGGGTGAAACCAAGATGGGAGCGCCTTAGAGTAGAGGCTCCTTCTGCACAATTCCATGTCTGGAACTCAGTAGAAGTCTTGTGTCCATGAAAATCTCCACAATGTCAAGATTCAGCCCAATGGTTCCAGGGGTTCCCCCTTCTCCAGCGTCCTGCTTAGGGATGATCCAGGGGCTTTTGGGAGTCCATGGGGTCCCTTCTCCCCTGATGCTCTACTTACAGATCCCAGGGATCCCAGGGGTCCCTCCTCTCCAGGCTCCCCCCCTTTCCAGTCTGCCGGGGTCCCCCAGCTCTGGGATCGCCCCTCTCTGCTCTCCCCACTCTGGGGGTCCCAGGGGTTCTCCTCCTCTGCTCTCCCAGGGGTCCCCAGGACCAATGTCCTCCCCTGCCCATACTGGGCAATGGAACGTGGGCCCCCAAAGATCCCACAAGGGGCTCAGCTTTGGGCTCCTGCAAGATCCAAACCTACACACACAGAGAAAAAAACCTCCCAGGGACATCAGATGATGTTTGGAGTCAATTCCACAATCTGTGAGCTCCAAACACACCCCAATAAAAACACCCTCACAGGGACTCCCAATGGATTTGAGACGGGTTCCCCTCCCTGCTCACCTGCAGGACGAGCTGGGGGCGATGGTACCGCAGCCGCGGCCACAGGGGGCACTGGAACCTCCTGTTCCTCCTGTTCCTGCTCCTGCTCCTCCTCTTCCTGCTCCTCCTTTTCCTCTCTCCCTCCTCCTCCTCCTCCTTCCTAACCCCACCTCCTCCCCAGTTCTGCCTTCTGTGTATTTAGAGTGGAGAACCTTGCTTGCATTTAGAACCAGAACAAAGATCTCAGATGGAACAAGGCTTGCTGCTTTTAGTCAAGTATCAGTGACTAAAGGTCACGTTTCCTTTGGTTTGGTGCCGTCCTTGTTCCTCCTCAGTGTTCAGGCTGGGCTATAGGGTGTCCTTGTTTGCTGCATTTTCCAAGTTCCTCTTGCACCCTTTGGGCCATAGGCTGTGCCCTGGGAGGGTTCTTTGTGCTCCTTTGTGACACAGGAGAACCTTCCAGGCGGTTTCTGCGTGAGCTGCTGCTGGGACGTCACAGGAACAGCGCCACGTCCCCGTGGTGTTCCTGTTGCTGTGGGACACGGAGGCCTCAGTGCCCAGAGTGGCTCTGGGCTCGTTGCCGGAGGATCCTCCTGCCCGAGGCATTCTCAGCAGCCAGCCCAACCCTGACGGGTGTCCTTCTGTGCTTGCAGGACTACAGGCTGCAGACGTGTGCAGCGCAGCCAAAATGATGCAGCACATGGCTGCTGCAGTTTGCACTATGTACTCTGTGGCTTATTCGGGGTATTTTTTAACCCACTTGGCACGTAAGTCGAGGTTTTCCTTTGCTGCAGCATCTGTGGCTTTGGCCTTGCTGTGTGCTTTCTGTTCTTCCTCTGGAGCTGAGTTGACTTTGGAACCAAATTGCCATGAAGACACCATTGCTTTGGGAGAGCTCCTGCCAGCAGCTGCAGCTGAAAAAGGGGGTGTCTGCAGCCAGCGGGGGGTGCACAGCATCTGCAATGGGCCCTGGGGGGTTCTGTTCCCTCAAGCAGGGAGTCTGTGCCAGCAGAGCCTGGAACTCCCTCCCTTTGCTGCTCCAGCCAAGAGCTGACCCAGCCCAGTATTTTGTGCTGCTCTCTTGCTTGCTGTGGGAAGGGACTGTGGCTCCTGGAGGGATGCTGTGAAAGCAAAATGCTCTCTCGGGGTTGCCTTGCTCCGTGGCATTTCCCACCACAGGCAGTTTTTCTCCTAACAGCATCTGGTTCATGTTCCCTCTCCCATTGCAGGGCACCTCATGTCTACATTCCGAGCAGCTCCTCCTTCGGTGAGTGGGAAAGGAACCTTTGGTGTTTGGAATTGTGCAGCAAGTGGTGAGCGTGGCATGTGGGAGTGCCAGCCTGGGAGGCTGAAGGAAAGTTCCTGTCACTGTCTTTGCAGCAGCAGCAGCAGCAAAGGGATCCCTGGCAGTTTTCTCCTTTTCTGCTGAAGAGCTTTTGAAGAGCTGCAGGTCTGGTTTTGCAGGCAGAGAATTGCTTGCTGGCTTTAGCCATGGTGGAATATTGAATTCCCAACAATAAGTGGCAATGTCGACTTTAGCCCATTGTTAGCTGGAAGAGCTCTGAACCCATTTTCTGCTTAGTGCAGCTGGATGTGCAGCTGAGGATAAATAAGGTGATAACTGAGATAGAACTTCCTGTCCCTCACGCTGCCGTCTGTCCACAGGGCACAAAAGCAGCACCAGCACCTCCTGGGACTCCCTCTGCTTCGAAAGAGGAGGCCAAAGAGGAGGAAGACAGCAGTGAGCTTCCTGCTGCTCTGGGGGACGATGGTGAACTTCCCTCAGTGCCAGGAGATGACAGTGAACTTCCCGCTGCTCTGGGAGA